TTAGGTAATATAAAATTTATGTAAACTCTATGTCCAGGAAAATGCCATCATGTTTACTTTTGTAATTTGCGCAATAATTATTAATAAATTATACATTTATTGGAATGTTTTTATCAGTATTAAATATTATATTTATTCAATATATGTAGCATTTATCGTGTAATAATAAATCAAATTTATTGTTGCTTTATTGATGTAAATTACACGAAATCGACGAAACATATGATAACAAAAATTGTTTATTGATTTAACGAGTTTGATAATATTTAATTTTAAAACTTAACTTTCTTTAAACTTGGATTTTGTTTTAAATATCAAAAAATCATTAATAATTTTGAGTATTTCTAATTAAAAATTTAATGTTTAGAATAATCTTCAATTTTTCTTTGTATTTATTATACAAATTTATTGAATAAGTAAAGATTGGAGTTTTGACTGAGGCAATGGTTAAATATTAATTTCTTGTTTGCTTTTTGACATTTATATTTTTAACATTACAAAATTACAAGTATATCTTAATGATTGATTCATTATATGCAAAAACCTCATCGCGTCAGATGTATGCCAGTGAATGTGTAATTTGTATCGATGGAAAGTCGTAATTATTTTCATTATGGAGAATTCTCGTCGCTTTCCATTCGCATTAATTTATACATATATATATATATATATATACTTTTCTATGATAAAATACATGCAAATTATATTTAATAAATTTTTATTTTTGTTAATGAATTTAATGAAAAATGTATGGCTACAAAAAATTCGAAATAAGTCGAATGGGTATCATCATATTAACGGAATATTAATAATTAAAATTTTTGGAAAATACAGGAAAATAAGGAATAATTAAATTTTACATAATAAATTTTTCAAAAGTTCTTTAAAATCCCGTTATCGGGTTCGATTTATCTCGAACAGTTGTACCCAAGAAACTTTTGTACCCACACATATAAAAAATTACAATAACGCATGTATTTTATTATTATTAAATATATTCCTCCGTAACCTTTATTCCGTAAGGAAATTATTCTGTTCATTTATTTTTAATAGATAAGAGATGTTTTTTAATGATATGTGGCAGAACATATTTTCTCACGAATTTTAATATTATATAAAAGATGTGATAAAAATAGTAATTGTAATTTACATTTACATTACCAAAATTATTACTATCGTAAGTAGTCTGAAAGATTCGGGATTCACACTCTTCTGTAACAAAACCGCTGGCGTTTGACGAATGCTTAATTTTTCTGTACGAATGGACATTGCGAATTTGACGTAGAAAATTCATTCTCCATTTATTATTACATTATAGAAGATTGTTCTTTACATCGGATGCTAATTATAGCGTATCACAAGGTGGAGGGATGTATATTTATATATATTTATATATAAAATATTTTTTCCGAGAAGTTATTAATTAATAATAAATACAATTTAATTGTTAGTTTCATTCCGCATTTATCAATATTTCATTAAACATTGATTTAAGAAAATTTATGTTTTCATATGTACTTTCAACGTTTCTGTGTAATCCCGCATTACTAAAATTTGTTAATTATGCTCCTATAATTACATTTTTATTATATTTTGAACAGCATTTATGATTGCATATTATATTGTTATTATTGAATTGTACAAAGGATTTCAATAAAAGATAATATCAAAAAAATTAATGTAATATCATTACCGAAATACAATAAAATAATTATAGACATAAAAATAAAAAATAAATTAAAAATATATTCTCCTGCAAAAACAGGCTACTAAATTTATTAGTAACTCTTTTTTTTAGATGAATATACTTACAAAGAAAAGAGGACCGCTGATAAAATCTGCGGGGGTAATGGAGGGCTCGTTCTTGCTAAATTAAACCTTAAATTAACGATATATGATTGAAAAAGTTTGAAATGTATTCAAAGTTTCTTGGTCAAAACGGGCTGAAACTCTGCAATAAAAAAACAATTTCATATTCCGTTTTTAGATGCATATTATAAAACAAAATTCGCTAAATTAATTTGTTTGAGTATTCAATTTTGAGTTTCTTAAAATTCAACAACTTTTATTTTCACAGTAGGAGACGCGAATTGAAATTTTCGTTTAATCCATTAATAAACATTGTATCATTAAAAGATTTATTAAATAAAAACGTAAAAATTGTTATTGCAGAATCAGAATTCGGATTTTCTAGAAATATATACGCAAATTTTATGTTATAATATGTATTTTGTATACGAGATATCTTATACATATAAGTAAAAGTGTTAATTGTAAAAATATATAAGAAATTTATATATTATATTTTATTACATTGTTTGATTACTTTGTATATTATAATTCTTTTTTTACATTTTTTTTTATTTTTTATTTTTATCAAATAAATACATTGCATGAAAATATTAAATTTGTATGTAATACATAATAAAGCATCCAAATCTGAAGTTACACGTAACATATATACTTCTCAATTAATTGTAATTTGCCATAAAAATACAACTGTAATATATTACGTGTGTTATATAATAGTTATATTTTAATTATTACATGTAACTGTAACTGGTGTTTGCTGAAAAAAACAGGAGCCCCATTATAAATTGGCTGAGGTGATGGAGGGGCTTTAGATTGATTCATTTTTATTCATTTAAATTTTCTTTTTATATTAAAGGTATAATAGTTGCTTACAATTAGAAAAATTACAACTTTATGCAAATTGCAAATTGCAATATGTTAAAGTAGCGCATTGGTCGCAATGTTTCAAGAATTCTCATTCTATATTTGAATATATTTGTGTTACTTTGAAATTTCAACAATATAATTAAAATTAGATAATTTAAAGATATTAATAAATAAATTTCTTACATTATATAATGGCTTTAAATCGTGAAAGCTCTGTTTTTTTGCATATATAAAGCAAAATTCTTATTGGATATTGTTCGTCACTCATTTCTCATCAGTGTGTAATAGGCATTAAGGGCCATGGTACACAAAGAAACTTAAGCAGTAAAACGTAAGCAGTAAGCGAATTGATCATTTACAATAGAGTCTGTAAAGCCATAACATAATCAGTAACCAATCCAACATGTTGATTTCCTTATTGCTTATACGTCTTCAATTGCACCAACATTATTTTGACTTTAAGCGGGAGGTTTAAAACTCTTTCTGTTTCGTTTTAAAGCGAAAGAGAAATAGAGACAAAGAGAGTTTTAAACTTTGCTTAACGTTAGTGCAACTGAGCCTTATTGCTTTAAGTTTTTTGTAGGCCATGACTTTAAGAGGATGCTGGAGATGCTTGTATTACGAATAAAGCGTTTTTGACGTTTTTGTTCCTGTCGAATTTCTTCGTAGTGATGATTTCACAGAATAAAAATTCCTTTTCCACGATTAAGAATGCGGTCCATTTGTCGCTATACGAAGAAAATTTTCTTTTAAAATTTATAAAATATTGTAATTATGATACAATACAATATTTTAAAGATTTTTATCATGCATTTTAGTAAAATTAATCGAACTTTTATACTTTATTATAGTTTTATTAATGAAAGAAAGAGATTTACATTAAAGTTCTTTGAAATATAATGTTGTCCACGACTATCATATTTTCAGAGTAAATTCTAAAAAAAAATTCTCTCCGTGTACAAATGCTTCGGAACATTTGAATGATCAACCAGAAAAAAGAATTTTAATAACCGACCAATCAAAAATATTTCGAAGCATTCGTAGCATCAAGTGACCGTAGCCTAAGGATACGATCAACGCGATGTTACAAATGCTTTAAAGCAATTTTTGATTGGTCAATTTATTTATTTTGTTCTAATTGGTCAATCAAACGGTTTAAAACATTTGTAGTGAGACTTTGACCGCAGCTTAAAATATATATGCTAATGTACTTGTTGTTGGTGTATTTTGTGTTCAAAGCTGGAGAAAATAAAAAATTGCGGATTTCTGTATTTATATACTGTATTTATATACTGTATCTATTTATAAAAACTAAAAAAATCGCTTCATTAATTGGTTACTGCTTCCGCTACTTGACGCTTGATGCTTGCATGTGAATGCATCTTTAGGCTGTGTTCAGAAATATTATCCAAGTGCTCTTGTATCATTTTATCTTTGTTGCTTATTCAATTAATGAACAATAAAACAAGGATAAGATGATACATGGAGGCATCCGGATAGTTTTCGAACACAACTCAGAGCCTAGTTGATTTAATATATATATCAACATAATCTCAGTATATTTTTAGTTAATAAGACTGTAAACAACTATTATTTGTGTTATATCTGTGTGTAATGTATTATTTTATTAAATCAACGAAAATTTCTTTTTTGACACATAAATGCGTACTGTAATACTCTCCAATCTCCATTGTATTAAAGCAAGAGATTCCTAACCTTTAAGTTGACTGAAATATCTCTAGCATACATTACTTTTCCAAAGATCTTCAAAGATTTCCAAATTATTTGATTCAGGTCTAAAAAGAAAAGATGAAAAGAATTGTCATTGCAATAATTTCTGGAGTTATCGTGTCAGAAATAATGTGGCAGTTGTACAAGAAACATAAACATTCTCGGAAGAAAGTAATCAATACTTCCAATTGCAATGGTTCTGTAGAGGAGCTTTGCAACAATACAGAAGCAAAAATCTTCGATGTCATGTTTTTTTCACAAGACTCTTCTTTATGTCGATCACATTTGAAAAGAATGAAACCATGTAAAAAACTAAATTGTCCAATAAGACACTTAAAGTAATTTTTTCAATGTGATATAAACGCAAAATAAAATTATTTATTCATATCTTTCTCATAGCTTGCAACTGTATAGAACATATCTGATGTATTTGCAGGAAGATTATACATTATTTGGATTCGGCAATTCATACTTTGGATATATGTTTATATTTTTTTACATTTGTGGAGTTGGCAGAGGCAGTTATAAGGGCCAAAAACAGAAATGTTGTTGTAAGGATCATATTGGAAGATTCCATGACATGTACTGATCGTAGCCGATTAATGAATTTTTACAAAGAAGGTTTGTAACAAGTTCTGATATATGGATAATTTAGTTAGAAATAAATATATGAAGAATTTAGTTATAAGACATAATCTTATATTAAATATATATAATATGTGACAACTTAGTATCAACCTAGTTGACATTATTTTGCTTTGCAGGTATTAAACCAATAACCAAACCATTGGACGTCTTAGTGCATCATAAATTTGTTATTATTGACAATAACATTTTGATAACAGGCAGCATAAACTGGACTAAATCAGCATTTTTTGGAAATTTTGAAAATGTTTTAATGACTAACGAGTCAGCAATAGTTAAGCCATTTATACATGAATTTGAAAGAATGTTGACGATACTCACTGTTACAGAAACTAATTCTGAAAATTTAGATTAGATTTAGACTCTTTACTTACAATAAGTAAAGAGTATAGACATTTGTTTAATGCTTTTATTTTTTAATAGATTCAGACCAAGATTTTTGAACTGTGATATGCTAACTTGTTTAAAAGAAGTTATAAGAAAGTATTTCATACTGAAATTTAATTTTTATTAAGATTAATTTTAAACTTAAAACTATATAACTTATCTGCATTTAATTTTGTATGCTAAACTCTTTATAAAAGTATAAAGAGATGGATGAAATTTCCTCATGTGTCAATTTTACATGAAATTATTTTCTCTAAAGTTCTAATGCAAGAACACAAAGATATTTATATTATTGTGTGTATAAATATAATATTTCATTTGATATTTACACATTTTCTTTTTAATATTGTTTCAGTTTGTTTTGTATGTACATGTATCATGTATTTCTGTCTCGAAATAATTGATATAACTACGAGATACTAGGATTTAATTCGCTAATCGGATGAATCTTTGTATTTTGGTGGATTAAATTTGATGCAATAACACATACGGCGTGGGTGTACCAAAGGGAGTTGCCATGACGATTCTGACGTCATTGTGATACTGTCTTGGTATTAAGGATAGCCTTTGTTTTCGCACAAATGAAGCTGCGCTCGTGATGCATATTGATTTTCTTTAACCGGGAACAGTCATGGTCTTCGGAGTTCATGGTCGCATATAAAGAGAAAGATCTGAAAGAGAAATTCAATTATAGATGTGCGTCATTTAATATAACATATTTAATGAAACGTTATTGTTTCGTATTTTTTATTTTATTTTAGTTAGCCTGTGATATTTAAAGAAAACGAAGCAAGATTCCATTTTATGTTTAATACATAAAAAAATTTTTTTCGTACTCTTATTATATAGTTATTATTAAATAGATTCAGTGTGAACTGTGCATGTAATTAATTATATTTTTAATATTTCTATAAGAAAATGCATGTAATAATTAAAAAAAATTTATTCTTCCAATTTTATTATTTTTTCTCTTCATTAATTTAATGCGAAAGAAATTTGTATTAGGATAGAGAGAATTAAAGATTTGCAAAAAAGATTTGTAAGAAATTTGAACTTTATCTTTATATTATAATATAAATATATTTTAAAAATTATATATGTATTTCTTATTGTAGAAAGATAACGACAGAAAAAATTAGACATTTATTGTAGCATGATTTTTAAATTAGATGGACAATTCCTTCCTCATAAGTAAAAATGAATTTTATACGGAAAAGTGAAAAAACGAGACGGATAATATTAAAATAATATTAATCCGCAAAATTTATAATCAGGTAACATAAATCTAAAATAGAAATAAAAAATAAGCTTTGTCTTTCAGAGAAAAGTTTAAAATGTACGACACTTTTGTGTATATATTATCATGTATATTAGTCTATAAAATTTCGTATGTATTTAAAATTTCCAAAACGTATATATTATTATGGATGCCCATTCAGTAATTTAAATTTTAATCTTTCTCGAAACTTTATAGAAAAAGTTTAATAAAACATTATTATTAATCATTATGATTAATTAAAAACCTATCAAAGCATTTAATTTTCCATAGCAAATTTCAAACGTCATGCATTTTAAATTATCTGAATATTTGAATATTTGTAATATTTGGCGATTAGAGTTACTAGATTTCTACAGTACCGCAATTGATTTCAGAAATACTGCGTCAAAATGGCCAAAGTGCACGATTTCAGGCATGGTGGTTGATGGTGCATTTTTTAAATTGTACTTACATGTTCTTCATGCACTTTCATGCATTAAACTTCTACAATAAATAAACTCATATTAAATAATACATAAATTAAGTTTTCATATATATATTTTTGGTCATAAATAAATTAATTACAATTAAAAAATATTTACGTACTTGACAGCTTTATTTTATCAAATAAAGTATGTATATACAAATACATAAATTTGAAATGGCCGCGTTTCGCGTCAAAATGAATTTGCGGTACTTTAGAAATCTAGTGATTTTATTGGCGACGCCGCGTTTGCGCCCACGTCATTCGCGCCTTTTCAGCCGCCATGACACTTTTGGCTGCGCGTCTCGTCGATTTGGAAAGCGGAGCGCGAATGGTGTCGTGATGTTTCGCGAATTTTATCCGTCTATAGTGCGTAATAAATGTGAGTTTTTATCAGCAGTACTAATTAAAGTGACGGACGGTGAAATTGTTGAAACGTGTTTGTTGCGATGGATTTTCGCGATGGATGTCGCGGTCACAATTGACGTTCATTGTTACGTGAAATCAAGATACTCCGATTCAAATTTCGGTAAGTATAGATTCCAATGACGAAGTACGCGAAAGTGATCCTTACTATCATGTGAGAAATGACAGGTACTTTTTATCAAGCTTTTTTTTAGCTCATCCCAATCATCATATCTAATGGAACATTCGTTCGTTAAGATAAATAATATATGAAATCTCTGGCGGCAAAAATTTTTATGAAAAAATAGAAAATAGATTGATACAAGATCAATACTTAGAAATTCTTAGTTTTTCATAGATATCATTAGTAGGACGTAGAGTGAGGTTTGTTTGTCTTAGAAATTGAAAATTGAGAATAGATCAATTTTTTTGTATATTCGTAGAATGGCGTATTGTTTGTTTCAATAAGATACAAAAAAGGTTCAGTAAAAATTCGTAATAGAGCATCAGAATTAAGACATTAATTCTGATATATCATATTAAGTGGGAAAAAGTTCGTGGCATTTTTCCCATTAGATAGCATTAAAAAAACGCCACGAAGCGTTTCCCATACCTAATATATGTAAAGGATGGAGGATTTCTTAGATTTTCAAACAAACAACGCTACTATACGTTCTCTACGAATATCTATGAAAAATTAAGAATTTTTAAGATTTTGTCTATGCAGTTTTTCGTAAAAATTTTTTCATCAGGGATATACAATAAATTACAGCTGCATGTCGATTCCCAACAAATAAAATTTGACATCAAAATGGCGATAAATAATGTCATCTTGCTGGCTGGATTATAGATAACGAATTTATGACAGTTTTGTTAAACAAATTCTGTACAATTATAGCATCCATTGATGATGATGTACCGCGTTGACAATCAAGAAACACTAAACAGACCAATTATCTTATCTTGTGTCGAGATTTATGTTTACTCGTATGGTAACAAGGAAACGTTCGATAGTTTCGTCAAACGAATTCTATGCGATTATAGCATTATTGGAATCTGTCCCAAGTAAATTTTTCACTTTAAGAAATATCAAAAATCATTAAGTGACTTTTATTAGGTGTACAACTTTGCTTCCGCCTATAGATGGCTTTTCCTATAGATGGCTTTAGCGGTAAGTGGTGGTCGAAATAAATAGATCATAGACGTCATACAATAAACTTGGGCATCTATCAACATAACCCCATAGAAACATTAGTCGATTTGTGTCTGTATCATAAAGTTATTCTCGACTGAAAATGTCAGTTTACGAGCTAAATTCTCGTCATTTGCGGGAGGTTTTAATTTTTTGCTTCAATATGAAGAAATCTGCGGCTGAGGCTCATCGAATGCTATCAAATACTTATGGTGAGGCCGCTATTAGTGAAAGAACGTGAGTGGTTTCAACGCTTCAAAAATGATGATTTTGTCGTCCAAGGTCATGCTCTGTATTTGGTGGGACCAGTTCGGCGTAGTGTATTATGAATTGTTAAAACCGACTGAAACAATCACAGGCGATCGGTATCGAACGCAATTGATGCATTTGAGCATTGAAAGACAAATGGCCGCAATACAACGAGAGACACGACTCTTCATAAGACCGGAAGTGCTGGTCAGCCAGGCCGTGTGCCATTGATCGAAAGTGATAGTCAGAGGGAGCAATGTCTGGAGAATACGGCGGGTGGGGTAGGACTTCCTATTTCAACGTTTCCAAGTATGTCTTGACCACTTTCGCAACATGGGGTCGAGCATTGTCATGCTGCAAAATCACTTTATCGTGTCTCTCGTTGTATTGCGGCCGTTTGTCTTTCAATGCTCGGCTCAAACGCATCAATTGCGTTCGATACCGATCGCCTGTGATTGTTTCAGTCGGTTTTAACAGTTCAT